TGCATGAAAGACTGAAGAAGATTCGGTGTTCAGAGTTTCCAGAGGATTCTTGCGAAGGGATATGATTCCCAGTTGGGAGAAGGTAGAAAAATTTTTGAAATTCGCCCACCCATTCCGCAACCTTTATGGCGTCCATTAGATGGATCCTACCATTCTTTCACGGGTAACCCATCTACAGTTTGCTGATGATATCATAATATTTGTGAAGCGGGTGACAAGCAAAAAGTGAGGAATCTTAGAGCATTGCTACAACACTTTGAGAAGGTCTCCAATTTGAAGATAAACCTGGATAAGAGTTGTGTGGTAGGTGTCAACATGAATGAGGGGGTTGTTCAATCTGTGACAGATTGTTTAGGTTGTCTCGTTTCTTCTTGGCCCTTGCAGTACCTAGGTCTCCTCCTAGGGGCTAACCCAAAAGAGAGTAGTTTTTGGACCCCTGTTTTGGAAAAGTTTGAAAAAATATTAGCTTCTTGGAAAAGAAACTACATCTCTATAGGGGGTAGAGTGACTTTATTGAGAGCCACCTTAGCAAACCTACTGGTCTATTATTTATCCATTTTTAGGATTCCTAAAGGGAGGCTACGAAGCTGGAGAGATTAATGAGAACTTTTCTTTGGGAGCCAGGGGAGGATAAGAAAGATCATTTAATCAACTGGGAAATAGTTTGTAGGAGTAAAGAAAAAGGTGGACTGGGACTAGGAAAGTTAACTCTCAGGAATAAAGCTCTCTTTGGAAAATGGTTGTGGAGGTGGCCTAGAGAAAGGGAGAGGTTGTGGCATGAAGTGATAGCTAGTATACATGGCAGACTAGGAAATGGATGGGATGTTGGTGTATCACGTCAAGCAATGATGGCATCTCCTTGGAAAGCAATCCAGAGTATCCTCCCTCAATTTCTCAACTCTGTCAGGTATGATGTTAACTCTAGTAATTATGTTTTATTTTGGGAAGACACTTGGGTGGGTACTGTTGCACTTAAGGACCAATTCCAGCCTCTTTATTCTATTTCCCTTTACAAGGAAAAAGCTATCTCTCATTCCCATCCCCTACTTCACCCTCGTCCTTATGTTGGGACTTTGTTTTCGGAGAGGTTTGAGGGATGATGAACTTAACAATGTTTCAGATCTGTTGTCTCTGCTTGGTAATGTCTTTCTGGACCCTCTTAATGTGGATGTGAGATTATGGTCCCCTCATCCAAAAAGTTACTTCACTTGTGCTTTCTTTTTTAAGTCCCTTTGCTCTTCCCTGAGATAGTGGGGTTTTCCAACCAAAGAGATTTGGTCTAGACCTGTTCCACCTAAAATTGTTATTTTCTGTTGGGAGGTGTTTTATAGAAAGATTAATACCTTGGACTGCTTATAGAAGAAAAGGCCTTTCATGTGTTTGTCCCCTAACTAGTGTGTACTTTGTAGGGCTAGTGGTGAGGATTGCTCCCACTTGTTTCTTGTTCTTTTTCTAGTGCTATTTGGAGTTGGATTTTTTCTTTGTTTGGGTGCAGGTGGAATCTGTCCACAGGTTTAAGTCAGTTGTGTGGCCTACAATGCAAGGGTGTTCAAGAAAAAGGAAAGAAGCATTCAGGCTGTTGAGGATTGTATCTTAACTAAGGCCATTCATTGGTTGAGAACTATGGACTTTCATATTTTTTCCTTTGATGATATATGGAGAAACTGGATAGCGGTGGCTAACAGCCATACAAGGAAGGACAAGGAAACTGCAATGTGGATCCTCCCGCCTAAAGGATGGGCAAAGCTGAACTTTGATCGCAGCAGCCAAGGAAACCCAGGCCCATCGGGGATAAGAGGGGTGCTGAGAGATATGGAGAGTAACATCTTAGCCTTGTTTTCAGGCTCCGTGGGAATAGGAGACTCTAATAGAGCTGAGATGTTAGCGGCGGTACAAGGTATTCAGATTGCAGAACAATTAGGAATTCAGCAATTGGTAGTTGAAGGAGACTCTAAGAATGTTGTCGGATGGTTGATAGACCCAGCTTCAGCTATGTGGTGACACAGAGACTTATTGAGGAAAGTCGACTAGCTCACAAGAAACATGACTGTTAGCTTTCTTTGGGTGGGAAAATCAGCAAATACCTTAGTGGATGGGTTAGCTAAGCAGGGAGCTTCAAGGGAACATTTATTTTGGGCTGCTCTGTAATTTTACTTGGGCTATTTTTTTTTTTTTTACTTTGATGTAATACTTTATTAGAAGAGGTAACAGCTCGTGCCTCTTTTTGAGTTTCCTGTATTGCCTCCTTATTTCTGGATTAATAAATTATTTTCATTCATCAAAAAAAAAGAATGAGAAAACATCATGGGTATGAAAGATATAATATATCATGGAATCCCCAAAACTGCAGTAGCACTTAAGAAAAAGCAAATACTAATGCATCTAGATTTGTTTTATATAATTAAAATATTTCAAGAAATACCACTTACATTGAAGCCATTTGCTAGCAACAATTGAGCTATTTCAATACTCATCTTCTTGACAATGCTTTTTGCGCTTGTAACATTTGAGAAGCACTTCAGAACACCATGAAATGTTGCATCATCTGAGGAATTATTTGACTTCCTTGTGCGAACAGAAGGCTGAAACAAAAAAAATAATAGCATGAATAATAAATAAATAAGTGGTAACTACAAGTCTACTAGAAGACAAGTTTGCATGGGTTTAAATACAGGTCCAATTTGGTCAGGTTTGGGTTGATATTTAAACTGATGACAGCAGGCTAGATTCCTGATAACTAATTGACCTGGATGGCTGAGTTTAATAAAATTTGGCTGACCCACTGGCCCTTTTACCATCTAATTGGTGTTCTACATGTTGTAGAACTTTGGAAAGCATAACATGATAATAAGTTTCTTTTCTATTTTAATAAAATCCTGGGAATATTAAGATTTCATCTTGATTTGATGAAATTCCAAACCTTTAAGAAAGCAGACTTTACCTTCTAATACAAAATCCTGAAGGGGATTTTCTAATCCCAATCAAGAACTATGCTGGTACTGAAACTAAGACTCAAAATCTTGCATATGCTTGACATCATAAGTTCCTGTTGGTTATTATGGCACATAGGCATGCGCCATTTCATCCTATTTTAAAACACTCTTGTTGAAGGATTTTTTTTAACTTAGCCAAATAAAACTAAAATAGCTTATAACCCAAATAAGTGGGTTGGCTAGTGTGCTAGCTAAATCATCAAAACTAAATAGGGTGTCCTGTATGGGAATTCCCTCTATTTAAGTGGGAAGGATAGGTGTCCTTCACCTAGGGGGAGGGGAGTTGCATAACTACCCCACTCCCTAGTTAAGCTCTTTAAGGGGAAATTAGGGTCCCTCCTCAGAGAAAATTGTTCTTAGAGCATACCACTCCTAGAGTTTCTTAAAAAAACAAAATAAATAGAGAAGAAAAGAGAAGTTCTCAAGAGAAGACAAGGAAGAAAAGAAATCTCACTAATACAGGTAGGTAAAGGAAAGTCCTCTCTATAATTACTTCCTACATGTGTCTTCTGCTATGTATCCTCCCACTTATGTTTCACTTTTAAGAAAGGAAATAAAGGGAAAGAAACCATCTACAATCAGGTGCTTTTACTTGGTTGGTTATGGTGCCTCTATCAAGACAAGTTAGGGACTAAACCATCTACAACCTAATTCCCAAGGACTGATTATGGTTCCCTTCAAATGAAAATGAAGAATAGAGGAATAAAAACCGTTTGTAGTCAAATATTCAATTTGACTGACTAGGTTCCCTTCTTGTATACAAAATCCAAGAGGATTAAGGCTGTCTATAATCAGAATTTCATCTGATTGACTGCAACTTATTATGAAGAAAGGAGTGAAAAGGAAATCTTCTTTGTATTAAAAGGAAAAGAAAGAGAGAAATGTATTGCTGTGGAGTTTCTCAATTGTACCTTTTTTCTTTCTCATTCTTCTAAACTTCAAGTACGTAAAAGAAATGCAAATGAAAAGTTCTTTTTAAGTACTCTATTATTCTTTTCTTTTGTTCTATGCATTCAATTCTCTAAATCAGAATCAAAAGGTGTTAATTAGGGGGAACAATCCATATGATTCCCTGAATGGGCCTTACCCAAAAATAAAAAACGAGAACTCAATCACTCGATTGAGTGAATTATGTTGCATGAGAATTTCTTAAAATTTTCACATCAACAACTCTTAATATAAGAAAAGTGTGGGCTGTTGCCACACTCAAGTTTGCTTCTTTTCTCATCTGCTTTCCTTTTCTCTCACCTCTTCTCCTTCCTTCTCCTAATCATCTATGATAGATAACAGTTCCCAATATTTTTTTATCAACAAAAGACTAATAATAGGGGAAAACAAGACAAATACAGATAACCATGCACCTAAGATGAGAGGAATGGACTTGGAGTCAAAATAGGCAGACTTTCTGCGCCTCCTCTAAATCAGAGAATCGACAACTTGGACCCTAGATGTTGGAAATGGATAAAGTCAGGCTTGTTCACTGCCAAACCCTTCTATAAGGGGATGAGTAACAATAAGATGGTTTTCCAAGCAAAGAAATATGGGGCACTGCCACACCCTCTAGGATAAAGTTTTTTGCATGCATAGCTGCAGAGATGTGTCCAAGGAAATGTTGGTGAGAAAAGGCATAAACCTGGCTGACATATTATGCCTATTGTGCAACATGGAATCTGAATTGGCTAGCCACTTATAACATTGCAGATACTCCAGAATTTGGGAATACTTCACAAAACTGTCCCATATTCCTGGTGCATGCCCAGCTCAGTCAAAGACCATAGTAATGGTTGGATGGCATATCTCAGACATAAACAAGAGGGGCAGACTTCTGTGGTCAGCCATCCCATTAGCAGACCTGTGGGCTGTGGGCAATATGGTTGGAAAGGAACCATAGGGCTTTTTTATCAGAAGAGAAAGTGATAAGCCAGGTCTTTGATGAGATAAGAAGTTGGGTGTCTGTTCATAGGTTGTTCAAAGAAGATGAACTATCTTCTTCTTTTTTGACTATTGACTTTTTTGGAGGTCCTTAAATGTAGATCAGATGTACAGAAACTCTTTGTACATGGAACCTTATAAATCTTTTGTATTATTTTGTTCAGTTAATACAAATATACTTTAGCTTTAAAAAGGGGAAGACTTGCTTAAAGACTTTAAGATTCACAAATATCAGAGTTGTCAAACCTTTGTCAGGTACTTTGAAAAATACTGTAATATTATTTCCAACCTCCATTTAGGATCACAAAAAACCTGCAAAACATAGTATTCTCAGTATCTGTATAAGAGAAATCTTATAAGAACGGAAAATACCCATTCTAACAGTTTACATAGAAAACTATGCTTGCTAGAACTAAAAAGAAATGTATAACCACAAAAGATGCAATAGATTGTGTTTTTTAATCAGTAACTGTTAAATTTATTTATCAAAATATGTATAATAAAATGTATTTACATGTGGTAAGCACCACACTAAGATAGCTAGCCTTGGCTAGCGACCTTAAGAACTATAAATTCCCTCCCAGGGGTACTATACCCCAATACATTTGCCTTTGTTTTGCCCCACCCTCCCCCCCCCCCTTTTTTTTCTAGTTCATCAGCAACAGTGCTGGCCAATCTACAAGAAGCCCAGCTGTATGTTATCCTCAACTCCATAGTAAGCTTTGTGATTTCTTTCATAAAATGTTTTTTTAAATGCACAGATTTAGCTAGCTGTAAATCATGTAGGATAACTAATATTTCAGCACAAATACTACTATCATAGCAGTAGATTTTACTAAAGGAGTGGTTTAGATAAAAACTGCAGTAATAACATTAGTATTTTTTTTTCTAAAAGAGTGATTGAAAAAAGGAATCTCTGTGAACCACCATTTTCAGAAGCTCATAAGAATTCACTTAATTTAATGCCTGCAGCTTGAAGGTTGTTTAACTTTCAACATAATGAAATTATGTACAAGATAGAGTTCATGGAGCAACCGGATGGTATTAAACTGCTTCATGGTTATTGCTCCCCCTCCAACAAAACAAACAGGCACATAGCCAGAGGTACAAACAAATAGAACAAACAGGGGAACATACAATGATTTAAAACTTTGAGGCAGGTTATTATAATCAAGAAAATAAGTAAAAAGAAGTTATTGTAAATTTATAAATCTAGTTTTAGCTACACTATGGGCCTTTATGGATCTATTTACCTAATCCAACTAAATCCACCATCATGCCATGACTCGACTTCAAGATACATTAACTCTTTAAAACATATTTTGACTACTTATAATTTCGGAATGGTTTTCTAAAACAAGCACTTCAAAAACTAATAACAATCTCTTTTAAAATGCAAAAATACCTCAGAGACAGCAATTGGCATAGCATACATATTTTGATTATAATGAAATTACATCTAAAACATACTATCTTGGAGAACATCTTCATTAAGGTGGCACATTGGGTGAAAACAATGGAAACTTTTTGCTCCTTTTACTCCAGATAATATAATAAGAAACTGGAGGAACATGGTTGATTCCACCTCAACTACAAGCTTTCACATGCTGTGTGTCAACCTTCCATTCCTAACACCTCAAACCAAACTTTGATGGTTGTGGCTTGGGAACTCTGGCAATATTGGTCATTGGGGTGGTTTTAGAAAAAAAACACAGAACAGGAGAGTTAGTTGTTTGTTTTCAGGACCTATCAGCATTTAAGATTCAACAAGAGCTAAATTATTGACACTTTGGCAGTATTGCAAGGTTTAAGATTGGTGAAAGACTTGAATCCCAGCCTTTTGATGGTGGAAGGGAACCCTTGCACAATAGTGATCCAGTTAAAAGGAAGATGCATGGGCTCTTCAACATAAAGATGTATCGTTAGAGAAACCAAACACTTGGCAAAGAACTGAATACAAGCAGCTTCTATTGGACTCTAATTTAGTACGAGGTTCGACCCCACTGAGTAAACAATTACTAAGTTGGCTTTGACAACCCATCTTAGTTCATTTTTACCAAGTTGTTGCCATCTTAGAGTTTCTATCTTAGTTCGTATTTACCAAGTTAGCGTTACAGTGTAACTTCTGAATTTGTATTCAATTAAGACTTTCTTTTTTGAAGAGATTTAATAGGATTATAATAAGGAGTGTTTTATTAGACTAGGAAACTTCTTTGTAGGAGGCATAAGGGTGTAAAAAAATCTATATAAAGAGTAGCTAGGGCAAAGTTAGGGGAGTTTTATGTTGTTTTTTTCTTAAGTATTCAATGAAGAGTTGTTCTTCCTGTTTATTTTGGCTTTTGCTCTTTTCTTTGAAGCTTCTCTGAACGTGGTGATAAAACTCAGACTAGATGTTTGTATAAGTTCAGATCAGAAGAAAGAGAAGGATAAGAGAGAGAAAAGGAGAAGAAGGAGAAAAGGTCACAGCCGAATTAAGAGACTTGGTTAATTTTTTTTTTTTTATGAATGGAGACTTAGTTAATTTACTAACAGACATTATGTTAAAGGGAAACTTGGGAACATATAAAACTAAGGAAAGGGATAAGGAGTCTATGTCAACATTACCAACACCACGTATGGTTGATGTAGAGCCATTGGCAAGAGTAACAGATTGGGAAGAGGATGACAGAGAAATGGATGAAAACACACCTGGAGTTCCAATCATATGATCGAAGGCTCCAGAATCTATAATCCAACGGGAAGGTGTGGATGCCAGACAAGCCGTACCTGTGTGTGCAAGGGTAGCCGCGTTCTGTTGAGATGTACCCTGAATGAACTGCTCATACTCATCTCGTGAAACACTCACCATCTCCTTTTGGAAGTATTTGTAGATTAGTGGGGATCTTATCAATAACTTGAGATTCTTGTCTTAAGCTACCACCATTTACAGCTGCATGATTTGCCCAGGTTGAAGGTGGGCCATGTAGATCATAGCAAAAGTTGATAGTATGTCCCTCCATACCACAATGAGTACACCTTCTCTGAGTATCACCACGTCCCCTACCACAGGCTACCCCTGAGTCTCATCCTCCAACACGACCACCACCACGATTATACATGCCACCACCACCACGACCATACATGGGTCCACCACCACTACCACGACCATGTTGACCTCCTCTACCACCACAACCTCCCCCTCTTGTAACTGCAAATGCAGACCTATCTGACATAGTGGAAGTCTCTGTGGGTCCAACTGAAATCCTCCGAAGACGAGCAAACACTTCCTCGAGAGAGGGAAGAGCAGATCCACCTAGTATATGTGCCTTTACGGGTTCATACTCAGACTTCAACCCTACTAAAAATCTGGTCACATCCAACTGTTCTCTCTATTGTTGCTGAATTTTGACATCAGGTGTAAGAGGATGATAAACATTCAACTCATTTCATAAATTTCTCATACTAGCATAATAATCCTCAAGACTCTGATTCCTTGTTGCAGATTGAAGTACTCTTGGTACAGTTGGTAAACCCTAGTAGTGTTGTCTTGTCCAAATTATATTTTCCTTGCATGATCCCAGGCTTCCTTGGTTGTATTTAAAAACATGAAGTTCACACTAATTTTGGACTCCATGTTGTTCCATAGCCAAGTCATAATTTGAGCATCCTCCTGCTCCCATTCATCATATCCCGGAGAATCAATTGGGGGTTTATCTTCCCTTACATGTTTCACTTTCTTTTTGGCTTTCARGAAAACTTCAACAGACTTAGCCCAAGGGACATAATTCTCACCATTCAGTTTTATAGAGGTCATCTGCACATTCAGATAATCAGAAGGCACCATCACACTTGATTTGTATTCACCGTTGTCTCCCATGACTGCACAAGAAAACAATGGGAAGTTGTACCACTAAATTGTTACTCTACTGCCCTAATAAATCACCACACTCCACACGAATGACTGAACACCACTAGGGTTCCTAGTACCAGGTTTCAGCAACAACACTCACAACTATTCACCATTGTTTCAGCAACAATATTCACAACTATTCACCACTTTTAGCAACAGCACTACTGTTGCCGTCTACTATCAGCACTAGAAACCCTCACAACACACCTCACGAATAGGATATTCAGTTCTGCAACATATAAAAAAACTTGCTACATACCACAACTTAGTTCAAAGATCATGTACCTGTCAAGTAGAGGGTACCAAGTCTACACTGTCACCATCACAAAACCAGCCCTCTTCGAATTGCGAGTAGAGGGTTTTCTACCAACCACACAAAACCACAACGACTGCCCTCATTGGAGGCATGGAAACCCCCAGAAAGAGAAAACGACCAGTCCTTCTCTTTCTTTCTGGAAAACTCTCTATGTATCAATGAGAATTCTGCAAAACCCTAGAAAGGAATACACAGAACAGAGAGAAAAGGAGACAACTGATCTGAACTGATTACTCTGATACCATGATAAAACTCAAACTAGATGTTCGTATTAGTTCATATCAGAAGAAAGAGAAGGATAAGAGAGAGAGAAGAAAAAGGAGAAAAGGTCACAACCGAACTAGAGAGAAAAATTCAAATCCCTCTAGTCGGCCCTTATTTTATTTATACTCTTCTAAGGTATACAAGAATTACCATTGTGCCCTCACTTATGTGAGAGACACATCAGTTGAACAATACATATATAACTAAACATAAAAGGACTATACTACCCTTGTACAGACGGTTCTAACACGTGGTTTGTTTCCGCACTACGCCAGTTGGTATCAAAGCACATGTTTGATCATTCTTTGGATTATGGCTCCTAAGAAGAAACAAGTGGCTCAAATCATGGAGCAGGAACTCGACAGCAAAACACAAGAGGTGGCAGAGTTGAGAAGACAAGTCAACACACTTGCTCAAGGGTTGAAATCGTTGCGAGGGGACAATGACTCCAAGGCAAGTGTTTCCACTCGTTCCTTTTCATCATCAAGGCAAGCATTCAACTCGGATGTAGTTGTGGGTGGTGACCAGAAACAGTGGGAAACGGGTTTCAATATTGAGATCCCAAAGTTTCATGGAGGTTTCTCTACTTGGCAAGCAACCAAATTGGTTGTAGTTGCAAGTGGTGAACAGAAGCGACGGGAAATAGATCTCAAATTTGAGTTCCCAGAGTTTAATAGAGGTATAGCCTTAAATGAATTCATGGATTGGAGTTTCATAGAGGAATTAGCAATTTCAAAGTCAAAAGGTAAAACCAAACTTTATGACTTTATTGATTGCTTTAATATTATTGAGGATTGCAACGAAAACCTTACATGGCCATTCTCCTCAAGAATATCTGTTGAACTTGTTCATTGGAACAAACCCCCAATCTCTAATGAGGAACCAATTACTAAGGAGGAATACTCCATCATTCATTATGAATTTCAAAAATAATACTTATAATCTTGGAGGTTATGATCACATTGTCTTTATACAAGCATATGAAGATCTTTATTGGCAAGCAGTTTTGCAATGTTCAGAATGGTCATTAAAGGAAGAACCATCTTATGTGAAGTGCAGGAGATATATTTCAAAATAATAAGATATATGGTGAAGATATTCCAATTCGTATTGGAGGATTCCACAACGAAAGTGCAATACCATATGTTAGCAGCCTCTTAGTTGGTAACATGAATTCAAGGCTGGATTCTCTCCAACCCGGGGAGGATGATGTAGTACAAGATTCGGCCCAACTAGTAAACAATTACTAAGTTGACTTCGACAACCCACCTTAGTTCGTTTTTACCATGTCGACACCATTGCAGAGTTTCTATCTTAGTTCGTATTTACTAAGTTAGCATTATTGTGTGATTTCCGAATTTGTATTCAATTAGGACTTTCTTTTTCGAAGAAATTTAGTAGGATTATAATAAGCAGTGTTTATTAGATTAGGAAATTTCTTTGTAAGGGGCATAAGGGTGTAAAAGAAATCTATATAAAGAATAGCTAGGGCAAAGTTGGGGGAGTTTTATGTGGATTTTTTCTCAAGCATTCAGTGAAGAGTTGTTCTTGTTTATTTCGGCTTTTGCTCTTTTCTTTGAAGCTTCTCTTGACATGGTTTGTTTTCGTACTGCGCCAGACTCCTAGATTTTCCAATAGCTTGGTGAATGGCTTAGCAAAACAAGGAGCAACCAGAATTCAACTTTTCTGGGGAATGATTCCCTAAAATCGGATATTGCAAAAATAACGGGCACATAACAGGGCCTAGCCAAATTTTGCAAGTGCTTAGGCATTGCTTTGTAGCAATCTCATTTTTTATTTCAATTAATAAAGTTTCAGCTAATGATAAAATATGCTATCTTGGGTTTATTGGATAGGAAATATCACAATCTTTTAATAACTCAAAAGACAAGGTGTTTAGGTGTGTAAAAACATGCAAAGCTTGGGCCACAAGTAAAGTGATGGACTTGAGATCATGTTCACTTATATCCAGGTGAAGGTCCAATTAATTAACCCATGACTTACTAGTTGTTTTGAATTAAAGCATTAGATTACCTTTTGATGCAGATGGATTTAAGCAAACATTGACAAAGCAAAAGAAAAAAAAAAAGAAAAACTCAAACAGGAGGTTGTAAAAGGAAACTATCAAAGTCAATAGTTCAACTTTTGGGCAGTAGTTGCAGATTCAATTTCTCTCAGCCTAACTGTTGGATTAAGTTGAATTTTGGATATGTTGAAGTTCAAGGAGTATTGAAGAGAACTTCAAAACATCAGGCTGGACAGAAAAAGTTAATGGTCTTCATTAAATTGCCTCTCAATTGCTAGACATTAAGGACTGCAATAGTATCAATGGCCAATGTCAAATTTTACCATATGGGCCTTATCTACTGAATCGCCCATGAATCTATAATTTCTGTCCAAGTTTCACTAATTTTAGTTTAGCAGTCAGCAAGTTAGAGTAAACTTTTGATTGTGAGAAAAAATTGTCTATTTAGTTTTTTATTTAAGTGTTTTGTAGAGAATAACTCGGGCATATTTTGATATTATTTATTACTGCCAATTGGTCAAGGGTAATTTAGGGAGTTAGCATTATAGTTTTATAGGGCTTTAGGGTGACAATAATAGTCCTTGAGTTGACATTCAGCCTTCTATCTTTTTATTATCAAATTTATTTATTTGTCAAAAATAAGAAAATTACTTTTCTTCTACTTTCTCTCCAAGTCAATCTTTTTGACTGTTAACCATATAGCTTTATATTGGTGGATATAAGTACATGGAAGAAGTGTTTAGGCCAGTATTGTCACCTGACTCAATAGTTCACATCTTACATTCAAATTATCCCACACTCTAGGCTGACAACTCCCCAATCTCCCCAATAGAACTATTTATGTTTGCCATCTTCCCAAACTATTGTTTTTCAACCAGCCGATCTATTGTGAAGAGAATGAAGAATAGCAAAGAAATCAAGGTGAAGAGAAGAACACACAGATTTACATGGTTTGGCATATTGAGCCTACATCCATGGAGGATCTCTTTGAAATTCCACTATTTTCAATCACTCATTACAGCTCTAGCAGAAAGCTAGTATTTTATAATGTTAAACTAAGGTTTATTACTTTGATGCCCTAATCCATATGCAACTGATAAAAATACCCCTGTATAGATATCTGTAATGACATTGTATGGATAAATTTCACATAACATCTGAGCTGGTGGCTCTACCCCTGGACCCCCAGCAAGGCATTCTTCATCATAATTACTACTAAATCCCCTTTGGCAACCATATTTCTATGGTTTATGGATCTTCCCAATCTCATCCCTCAAGAACTATTGTTCACTCTAGTGGATTGCTATTGAGGACTGGTTATTCTGCTCTTAATCTTCTTCCACTAGCTGTTGTATGATATTTTTGTTCTTTTTCTTCTATTTCTGTGCTGGTTTGCAATGTCTGGTTGCATCTCTTTCAAACAGGGGAAAAAAGAACAAACCAAAAGAGATAAACAACTGCAACAATTACCTGGAGAAATGAGCTAAGAAGATCTTCATCATAAGTAAGTTCATCCAGAATTACCTCCATGAGAGGGATTCTGCCAAGCACCAGAAATTGATACATCAGTAGTCAAATAGTCCATATGAGAAACAAGCATTTCAAGAAGAAAGCATTGAGTACTGTTTGTTCTGTAGCTACAGTAGTTCGAACCAAGAGAAGAGAAGAAGAAGAAGATGAAGAGAACAGCCGAACTTGATAGATATCAGTCGACCCTTAATATGGATTAGCCTCTAATTAGTAGTACAAAAACTAAACTGCCCCCACTTAAGTATGGGACAGGAAGTCTCTATTAAGACTGCCACATGAGCACATAACTTAACAGAAATAAAATGACTAATCTACCCTTATTCGGCTAGCTCTAACACTCCCCCTCAAGCTGGAGATTATATGTCATATAATCCCATCTTGTTACATATATAGTTCACTCTCCCTAAGCTTAAGCCTTTTGTAAACAAATATGCCCACTGATCACCTGAGCCCACATGTTCTGTGTTTATCTCTCCAGTAAGGACCTTCTCCCTCAAAAAGTGGCAACCAATCTCTATGTGCTTTGTTCTCTCATGAAAAACAGGGTTAGATGAGATGTGGAGTGCAGCTTGATTGTCACAGTACAATTTCATAGGTCTATCCAAGGAGAACCCGATTTCTTGTAGGAGATTCCTCAGCCATACTAATTCACATGTAGTGTGTGCCATGGCTCTGTATCCGGCTTCAGCACTGCTCCTTGCCACAACCGTCTGCTTCTTACTCTTCTATGTCACAAGATTTCCTCCAAAAAATGTGCAATAGCCTGTAGTAGATCTTCTATCAAACACAGAGCCTGCCCAATCTACATTTGTATACCCAATTACTTCAAGTTTTCCTCCTGGTTTGTACAATAACCCACGGCCTGGAGCTCCCTTCAAGTACCTTACAATTCTAAGAACTACATCCCAGTGAGGTATCCGAGGGTTCTGCATAAATTGGCTCACCACACTAACTGCAAAGGAAATGTCTGGTCTCGTGATAGTCAAATAGTTCAGCTTCCCCACTAGCCGTCTACACCTTCCAGGATCATCAAATATTTCCCCTGTATCAATGCTCAACTTAGCATTTGGTTCCATGGGAGTTTCTGCCGGTTTTGCACCTAACAATCCTGTTTCATCCAGCAGATCAAGAACATATTTTCTTTGGCACAGGTTTACWCCTTGTCTTGATCTAGCAACTTCTATACCCAAGAAATACTTCAATGTCCCAAGGTCTTTTGTTTGAAAATGATTTTGCAGAAAAACCTTTAGTTTATCGATCCCCAATTTGTCACTACCAGTTATGACAATATCATCCACATAGACCACTAATAAAATCTTTCCGGCTTCTGAATCATAGCCAAACACCGAGTGGTCAACCTGGCATTGTTTCATTCCAAAATTCTTCACCACTTCACTAAATTTCCCAAACCAAACACGAGGCGATTGTTTCAACCCATAAATTGCCTTTTTCAGTCTGCACACCTTACCATCCTCCCCCTGAGCAACAAACCTAGGTGGTTGCTCCATATATACCTCCTCATAAGGTCACCATGAAGGAATGCATTTTTAATGTCAAGTTGAAACAAGGGCCAATCATACATAATTGTCAGGGAATTTAAGACACGAACAGAGCCAATCTTATCCACTGGAGAGAAGGTCTCCATATAATCCACTCCATACAATTGTGAATAACCTTTAGCAACAAGTTTGGCCTTCAGACGCTCCACACTACCATTTGGCAAGTATTTAACAGTATACACTCATTTACAACCCACAACATGCTTACCAGGTGGAAGAGTAGTGAGCTCCTATGTGTGAGTATGCTGAAGGGCAAAGAGTTCCTCCTCCATTGCCTGCCGCCACCCAGGTGAGCTAAGAGCCTCTCGGACATTCTTAGGTATAGAAATAGATGACAACAGTGAAACAAACTGGCGATCTAAAGCGGAAAGGCGAGATACTGAAACAAAATTAAAAATAGGATGGAGGGTACAACTACGTTTACCTTTTCATAAAGCAGTGGGAAGATCAAGTCCTGAAGGTTCAGGGACAAGAGCAACAACAGGATCTGCAGACAAGGTAGAAGCTGGAGGAAAAGGTGTCTGTCGATGAGTATACACGTGCTGGATCGGTGGTTGTTCAGTAGGGATCTGCACTGGAGGAGGTGAATGGTCAACCCCAACTGGAACACCCGGAACGGGATCACTGACTGGAAGAGAAAGAGGAAGCAAAAGTGAAGACACGGATACTTCAGGTCTCGAGAAGAAGGGGACAGACTCAAAAAATGTGACATAAGGACAGACATAGCACTTCCGAGTAATGGGATTGTAACACTTGTACCCTTTTTGAGTCCGAGAGTAGCCAAGAAAGACACACTTAATAGAGCGTCGCAGCTTGTCTATTTCAGGACTCAGATTGTGAACAAAGCACACACAGCCAAAGATACGAGGTATTAATGGAAAGGGAGACAAGGTGGGGAACAAGATAGAGAAGAGAGACCGACCATGAAGAATGAAAGAGGGCATCCGATTAATAAGGAAACACGCAGTAAGTACATCACTCCAAAATTGTTTAGGAACACTCATGATGAAGAATAGATCGAGTAGTTTCAAGGAAATGACGATTCTTTCGTTCAACCACCCCATTTTGTTGAGGAGTGGATGCACATGAAATTTGATGAATGATGTCATGTTGTTCTAAATACTTTGATTGGAACACCAAATTGTGTATGTATTTCAGCATGAAATTTTTGAAAAATGGAAAATAATTCACTCATTTCTTTCATTAAATAAATCCATGTCATCCTTGAACAATCATCAATAAAAGTGACAAAATACTTGCAACCATTATAAGACTTTATTTTAATCGGGCCCCAAACATCTGAATGAACCAAAGCAAAATGACTCAACATACGACTTTCAACTCTAGGATTGAAGGGAACACGACGATGTTTCCCATACTGACACGACTCACACTGTAAAGACAACAAATGACTCAAAGATGGAACCAATATCTTGAGAGCCTTAAGAGATGGATGTCCTAATCGACAATGCCACTGTAGAGGAGTGAGTGAAGTCTGAAGTGCAACTGTCGATCCACCACCGTCAAGGTAATACAATCCACCAGCCTCATGCCCCCCACCAATCTTCTTCCCCGTCTTGAAATCTTGAAAAACACAAAAAGAAGGGAAAAATGTAATAGAGCAATTAAGAGTCTTGGTTAATTTACTAACAGACATAAGATTGAATGGAAACTTAGGAACATATAGAACAGATGATAAAGAAAGAGAAGTCGTGTCAACATTACCAACACCATAGATGGGAGAAGAGGAACCGTTGGCAAGGGTAACAGTTTGAGATGTGGAAGTTTCAGAGAGGGAAGAGAACACACCTAGAGTCCCGGTCATGTGATCAGAGGCTCCAGAGTCAATAATCCAGGGARAGGGTTTGGATGATAGACAARCTATACCTGAGTGGGCAAGGGTGGCAGTAGTATGTTGTGAAGTAGTCTGGAGGAACCGCTCATACTCATCACGCGGTACACTCACCATCTCCTTCCCGAAAACAGATGTAGATGTGGAATGAGTTAGATCTGTCTGTTGGTTATCACTGACATCAACCCCACCAGCTACTACATGATTGGCCCATGTAGGAGGGCCATGGAGATCATAGCAGAAATTCACCAAATGTCTGTCCCTGCCACAATGGGTACACTTCCTTGTATAGTTACTTTTTCCTTTACCACGGCCTCCCCCTGAGTCACGACCACCACCACGGCCAAATACGGAAGCACCACGACCTCCTCGGGAGGCATGTCCTCCCCCTTTAGTACCACGTCCACCTCCTCTGGCTATCACAAATGTTGATCTGTCAGACTGTGTGGGATTTTCTGTAGGCCCCAAAGAAATCCTACGAAGCCGTGCAAACACTTCCTCAAGTGTAGGAAGAGTAGAGCCTCATAATATTTAGGCCCTAACTGGTTCATATTCTAATTTCAACCCCACTAAGAACCTAGTGACATCTAGTCGTTCCCTCTGTTGTTGYTGAACCTTAACATCTGGAGTGAGGGGATGATAGACATTGAGTTCATTTCTGAGGTTCTTCATACTGGCATAGTACTCTTCTAGGGTTTTATTCCCTTGCTGCAGATCGAAATACTCTTGATAGAGCT